GTTCTGAAGGCAAAAGGGGGTCCAACCCGTTACTAGCGTGGTGTACCTAATAAAGTGGCCGGTGAGTGTATATAAGCTTTAACCAATATGTGTGGATAGCATGGTGAACTCTGTTTACAGAATGAGATTTATGGAAGTGTTCCTAAAGCCTGGTTTATAGTTGACGTATTGCGCCAGGCGCGAGGCGGCGCGCCAATAGTGACAAAAGTGTATTGCCACGTCCTTTTGGAGAAATTTACAACAATATAGCGTCAAGGCCTTAAGCCCAAAGAGCAGAGCTAGTCAACTGGGGGTGGTGACAACAATCAAATGTAAACTTTAAATTTATGATTCAATGCAACAGTTAAACAAATTTAAAAAGTAGAAGATAATAATACTTTTTCCTTTACATAATGATGATTCCCTACTGTTATCGGGCCTAAAGATCACAAACATCTAAATTTCAGCCTAGTTTTTTGTGCAGAGATTTCTTTGTTTGTTCTTTAGAATGTTTGTTGAGGAACATTATTTTGAGGAAGAGTTGGAGGAGGAAGACTTTGGTATTTCTGTTGTTAAACAAGCAAAAAAAAAGCTAATTTGCAAAGTGTGAGAATGTGTCCCTACGCTTCCAAGCCAAGCTGCACTCTCTCCTAGCCAGCACAGTCACAGAGAGCCAGCTCTCTAAACTAAATCACGCTTTAGTTTGAACATGTGGATGTGTTTACTATTTCATTGTAAATGAAATATGGCTTTATAAGATTTGCTAATCATTAGGGTTTAACGTTTGGCCAAAGAACTCAACAAATCTCACCTGGAGCTGAAGGGCAGCATCTGAAGCTTCAAAGATACGGCGAGCCAGTCCTTTGTTTTGTTTGCTCATCACATCCAGGAAATTGTAGTCCACATAATTTCCAAATCCGAGACAGAAAAGAGACATGTTTCCTCCAATGGCATTACGCACATTCTCCTGAATCAATGGGATGTGAGACACTCCTACAGACGCAACACACAAAGTTGTAACACTTATTCTAATCTATCCCAGCGTACAGAGGCTTTTTATCCTTACCTGAGTTTGGCATTCCATCCGTCAGTAAAATGACCATGTCAGCACTTTTCTCTGGTACCCGATTCTGTCGTCTGTCTTCAACAATCATGTCCACACCTTTCAGGACTGCACCATTGATGTCGGTGGCTAGATTTTTTTTTTAAAGACAACAAACCACAAATAAACTTTGAACTATTCAGCTTGTGAATATATTATTTCATTTAGAGTAAAGATACTATATGTTTGTAAGTTTTCTTACTTCCTCCAAGAGGGAAGGTTTTAACGTAGATCATGGCATCAGCCACATTGTCCTTTGTTGCTTTGGTAAGAGAATTCTTCCAAAAATCCAATGAGTCATCAAACACGATGATTGAAAAATAATCTTCTTCATGGAGGTCTTCTAAGATGGCCAGCATGGCATTTCGAGTCTGGAAAACATCCGAAATCATACATGTCAATGCTTCTGTGTGAGAAGGCTGTCGTTTATCTAAACAGTCTCTTACCTGCTCCATTTTTCTACCAGACATTGATCCACTGCGGTCAATTATAAACGCCACATTCTTAGGAACTCTGGGCAAATCAGGTGGTGCAAAGAAGTGCACAAAGTATCCATTCACAATCTGAGGGAAATGAAATCAAAACCTGAGTTTAAAAAACATCTGTAGGAGGTACATAAAGCAAAAAAAAAAAAAACATTTAATAAACTAGCTACACTTTTATAGTGTTAAATCCAGATGATAAATCCAATAAATCTTTTTTTGACAGCTGACCTGAAGCTCCCCGAGGCTCTTCTCTCGCTTCACATCATACTCGATGATAAAATCACCATCAATGAGCGTTCCATCACAACCTTGACACTTCCTCTGCTGCTCCATGGTTGGAGAGAAAGAGATGCGTGCCTAATATGTGGGGTGGGGGGGGGGACACAAACAGATTTTTTTATTTGTTGTGAAACAGATGAAAAGAAAGAGAGACCAAGATTATAAGACATTTACAGACATTGATGAGTTTGACCTATGGTCCAGCTTCTCTCACGTCAGAATTTTAGATCATCTTAAGATGAGAATTAACGTTGTTATAGCCAATTTGATCGAACCTTAAAAATAAGTTGTTTTTAGGTCATAGTGTGAAATATCATGTTCAAATGACCCTGAGCTACAACTGCATTAAATCTTAGCTCAGCATCTGTAAAACAGTTACACTAAAATCTATCCAGTAGTTTAAGATGTTTTTTCTAACAAACAGGAATTAATCTAAAAGTTAGCTCTTAAAGGTTAGTTCAACATCTTTAAAATCTAGTTAATTATAGCCATATTTAGTTTTTCTAAAGTCAGTCGGCTGGACGGACATCTTGAATTGGGTTGGGTCTGAARGTTAATCAGTTGTAGATTTACATCCAATGAGCCTCAAAATGTCACTAATTAGATTCTGCTAACAGACGACTCCAAAGAGTAAATGGCAAAGTTTTAAACAAAGGTTTTTCATAATCTGTCAGCACTAAAATTAAGTGTTGGGCATCAGTCTCAGTTTAGCCTGGTTAAAACCAGACCCTGTCCTTCACTTCGCTTCGTACAAGGGTCTGGACTTGATGCATAGACAATCGTTTCTTGCAGGAGGCGTGGCCTCTGCTGAAGCATGTATGTGTTGTCGCTGTGACGGAGGCTAAGGAGCTAACTGGAAATCGCGTGTGCTGTAAACAATCCTACTGAGAGGAGAAAAGCAGCAGCTCTCATTTACAGTCGTCTCGTTCGAAATACACCGAGCTGAACGAGACGACTGTAAATGAGA